TTTGATGATGCGGAAACGCGATTAAACCCAACACTGAGAGAATTACAAGAATGTCTCGAGGAGTGGGATTTTTAAGTCAACCAGAAATACCAGTTCGGGCGAGTCGTTCTCAAGAGAGGCAAGGAGCTCGTGTCAGGCGACGAGTCATCACTCCAGAGGGCCACCGAGACCACGACCCCGAGCAGGCTTCACCGTCGTTGGAAGGACGAGCACAACAGGGCCAAGGAATATTTCGACGATTGCAATCAAGCCTACATTCGAGTAACTACTTCCCTGAAAGCCGCTATCAAGGGGTTGTCACTGTGGAAGCAAATGCAGACGCCGCCGACTATGAAGAAGAACTTGTCCGTCTCTTGCAAAGCGTGGTTGACGACACAATTGAAAAAAGTAAGTTCCTAAAAAAAAAAAAAAAAAAAAATTTTTTATTGTTGCTTTTAGCTCTTGAAGCACGACCCAACCGTAGAATAACACATGTCAATTTGGGCATTGAGTCGGAGGCCCTCGAGAGCGGAATTTATTCAGGGTTTGTGCCAGAAAACGATTTTGATGTACGCAGAATGTTCACCCGTTTCGAAAAAGTGCAACAGTCGTCAAAAACCGCAAATTTGTTCGAAAAGCCCATTACCATCAAATGCACAGTCTGTTCAACGATTAGCGGAGGAGCCGACAGGCAAGGTGTCGGTGGCTTTGCAAATGGGCTTTATCATTTGGTAAACACGAAAGGAGAATGTCTGCCACTTTCCATCATTTGTGGATTGCTTTATAAACTTCCAAACATGCCTCGACCCGCCCGAATGATGCAAAGAATTGCCGACCAAAACAAAGCCAGCGACACATACAAAAACTACTACCAAGCAATGATGGAGGCCACCAAAATCAAAAATCCTGAGAGAGATGCGTTTCAATTGGTGATCATGCGAATTGAGGCCTACCTGAACAATCAATACCGAGATTTGGCGCCATTTCAAGTGGTTGTTCACGCAACCGAGAACTTTCACGACCTTCCCCTGTATCCAAGCGTTAGCCGAAGAGTTGGAATTCAAGCCAAGACTATAATTCCAATTTTCTTTGATGAGGAACGTGAGCATTTTGATCCGATCATAAAGCCGACAAAATTCTTTGGAGCCAGAAATGTGTGTTATAAATGTTTGAGCACATACTCACATCAACAAGAGCACCGAGCTTCATGTGTGGATAAGTGTTGTTTTTGCGGAAGAGTTGGACAAGGTCCTTGTGTTCATGTTGGAAGAGCTAAATATTGTGACCAATGTAATGGATTCTTCCCGAACAATGATTGTTATGTGGTTCACCAGAGGCGAATGTGTCGTCAATACGCAACCTGCCGAAAGTGTAAGAAACGCTACGCGCAGAGACATGAGGAACATCAATGTGGCTACGTCTACTGCTTCAAGTGCTACTCATACCACAAAGAAGACGGTGATTGTTTCATTAAACCGCTTGAGCCCCCTGAAGAGGAGCCCGTCTACAAAGTTGTCGCGTTTGATTTTGAAACACGCCAAGAAGATGAAATTGGTGATGGAGTCTTTGACCATTGTGTCAATTTTGCCGCCTTAATGACTATGTGCAATGAGTGCATGAATTCCGGAGAGTGGATGAAATCGGATGGATCCTGTCGTGCCTGTCCCAATAGCATTCAATGGTATTCAACGCCAGAAGACTGTAAGTTTCTCCACGGGTTGACAAGTCGTTTTAGCAACCGTTGATCCTGTAATGGAAATGTGGAAATATCTGAAGGAGATAACAGCCAAAGGGGAGACAACACTAGCGGTCGCCCATAATGGAGGGCGTTTTGATTTCACCCTATTGTTGAGAGCCATTTTCAAGGATAATTGTAAGTAATTTCTATAAAAAATGCATCTTGTTTGTTATAGCGCATCGTCGGCCGAGTATTATTGCCAACGGCGAAAAAATGTACAAAATTACCGTAAATGGGGGTAGAAAATTTGGAAAGATTATACTGGTCGACTCTTTAAACCATCTTCCAATGAAGTTGGCCAAACTCCCGCAAGTCTATCCACTGCCTGAAGAGTTGGGTGTGGAAGGAAAGGGCGACTTCCCCCACTGCTGGAACAAGGAATGCAATTACGAATATGAAGGACCTTTGCCTCCAAAGTCGGCATATCAGTGAGTTTTTGAGAAAGTGGTTTATTCTGTCGTTTAGATATGACGACATGGAAGACGCCAAAAAACAAAAATTCGATCAATGGTATCAAGAGAACAGTGGCAAACTCTTCAATTTTAAAGAGGAACTCAAAAAATACTGTATCATTGACGTGAAAGTTTTGGCCAACGCGATTGCTAGTCACAGGCGTGAATGCCGGATAATCCGTGGTCATCCCACCGACGATGTGTGGTATTACAGCTGCACTTTGGCGGGCAGCGTGATGAGAGATTTCCGAATGTCTGATTTGCCGGAGAACACACTTATTATTCAAAACGAATCCGCATTTGGCTCAAAAATCAACCAAAGTAGGACGGGCTTGAAATTTTTGCGATGGATTCGCAAAAAATACTTTTCCAACCTACAGTTCAGAGACTGCCCGAATGGAGAGAAAACGGTCCGGGTATGGGATCCTGAGAAGAGGAAACAACGTCGATTTTCGGTAGACGGATATGTTGAAGGAATTGACGGCGGCAAAAACTTGATCATCGAATACAATGGTTGCGTTTGGCACGGATGCGAGAAATGTGTCCCAAACGCGGATACGGTTTTGCCGAATGGAAAGACTCGCCAAGATACACGAAAACAAAATGAAAAGAGAGTCCAACTGCTCCGTAACGCCGGATATGATGTGGTGGAATACTGGGAATGCGAGATCAAGGCTGAGTTGTTGGAGAATGAAGAAATGCAGGAATTTTTTGAAGACGAAATTCAGAATGCCGCACCGGCTCATCCCCGTGAAGCCTTTGCCGGAGGAAGAACAGCCGCACTGTCATTGTGGGCCGACTCCAATGATCGATACGAGATCGGCTACTACGACAGCAACTCGCTTTATCCCTCGACCCTTGTGAACAAGGCAATGCCCACCGGAAGAGTTAAAGTGATCCCCTTGAACAGAGCCGTCGACTGGCGAAGCGCAGCCCAAATGTTCGCCGACTGCGGCCAAATGCATGGAATCTACAAGGTCTTTGTCATCCCTCCCCGAAAATGCTACTACCCCGTGATTCCCACCCGAATTCAGAAGACTTTAATCTACCCGTTGTGCTACAAGTGTGCGAACAAGTTTGCTGGCCGTTCGTTCGTGGGAAAGCATGAGGCTCGTTGTGAGCACTCGGATGAGGAGCGAGGCTTCATCACCACCGTCACCAGTTTGGAGTTGGCTGTGGCCCTGGACGACGCGGGCTACAGAGTCACTCACGTCATGGAGAAGATCGAGTTCGAGAAAATGGACTCGGAACTGTTCAGAGCCCCCGTGCTCCGATACTACAAGAAGAAGATGGAGGCAAGCGGCCCGGAAGGCCGAAACGATGAACAGATTGAGGAGTTCATCGCGGAAGCCCAGCGCCGCTATGGCTTCCTGATGAGGAAGGAGGACTTGGCGTTGAACGCAGCAATGCGTTTCAACTCCAAGATTATCCTCAATAGTTTCTGGGGGAAGTTTTCGATGAGGAGTCGATTGACTCGCGTAAGTCCTAATTTTTTCTTTTGTTTCTCGTTTTTTTCAGATCGAGATATGCAAGAGCCCAGAGGACTATGTTCGTCTGATGATGGATGATAGTCATCAGGTATTGCGGACAACGATCATCAACGAAACAACGATGATGTTCTTCCTCAAACCCAAGGAGGAATATGTGCAGGACTTGGACTTTAATAATATCTTTGTCCCATTATGGACGACAGCAGCGGCACGCCTCTACCTCTACGAGGGGATGAGGCAATGTGAAAAGGCAGGGGCCGTCGTCTTGTACCACGACACGGGTAAGTCCAAGAATGTGAAAAAATCTTTACTTTTTGGATTCTCTATTAATTCGACACCACCGAGGCCAGCCCCCAATTCAAACAGGGTCCTTCTTGGGCGAATGGAAGAACGAGTTCCCCGACCATGAAATTTTGGAGTTTGTCGCCGGAGGCCCGAAACAATACTTCCTCAAGCTTCGCAGCAAGACCAACCCCGAAGAAATCAGCTACAAAAGCTGCATCAGAGGTTTTACGATGACCCGCCAGGCCAAACAATGTCTGGCATTCGATCGATTCAAGGAAATGGTTCTCGACAACCAACGACATCATCAACAGCCGATTCCAACCGTGCAGTTCCGGCCTTCAATGCGGGAGCAAAAAGTGCGTACTGTACATTCGACCAAGGTCTACAAGGCATGCAACACAAAAGGCTATGTTCATGATTTACGAGTTTATCCCTTTGGTTATGATTTAGACGGTGAATAAAATTTTTTTGTTTATAATTTTCTTGGCGTCCGTGTCACTGATCAATGCGAGGGTTCGTCGAATCGAAGGCAGAGAGGCATTTCTGGAAGCCATAAACAGAAATATCAGGCACATGTGGCCACAACAGTCGGAGAAAAGCCCTTGGACGGGAGTGGACCATGCGTGAAGGGGCGCAAATCGTTGCCCAATCTCCGGTGGAGGGTCACAGCCAAAACTGTCAAAATACAGGCTTTTGGAAAAGTGCGAAAAAACGGCGACCCAATGACTTCCTTGTTCGTGGCTCGGGTCCAGATTGATAATGCAGGCATGCGGTTTGGGGAGAATTGAGGGAATTGTGTCAATGCTGTACACTCCACTAGAAACGTGAGGCAGCAGACTGCGTAGGTGGTTGTCCAGCTGGTTTGTGTTCATGGCGTCTCCACTCTTTGAAGAGCACAAGTCCAAAAAACATGAGCAAAAATCCCACAAATACAACACAAAAAACAATGTCTGTGTACTTGTCGCAGGACTTGGGCAAACTGTTTATTATCGAGGTTGGGTCGATATCTGTCATAATAAATCAATCCAACAAAAAAACCCTAATCAATCAAGGCCTTTAATAGACTTTTGGCATTTTGCGGAATGACCATTTGCGAATCTTGAACAATCCACTTCCGCCTTGTTCACGTCGGCGCTGACCGGCCTTGAGTGCGGTGGGAGGACTGTCGAGTCGAAGCAGGGTCTCGGCAAACCGCCTGGTGGCGGGATCGGCCAGAAGCTTTTCGCGGAAGGCCTTCTCTCCCCTCTTGTTGGACAGGTCCTCTTCCAACCAGCGATTGAGGATTCGCTGATAATTACTGTCCCGCACCGAATTTCCGCCTTGAAGCAGAATGCCTCCATTTTCGTCGACACCAAATTTTGACGGATCGGCGGAGATTAATCGATTCAAGGTGTTGAACGCGTCTCGGCGCTGTTGAAAACGACGATGTATCGACATCCTTGGCATTGGGGGTGTTCGCATCATTGGCCTGCCTCGTGGTGTGGCTCCGGCGTCGTCGTTGGCGGGCGATGGTTGGCCCCTCACAGTGGGGCCAACCATGCGGGGGGACTCAAGCTCGGGCCGCGGAGCGGACCCTCGCCGTGGCTCAAGCTCGGGCCGCGGAGCGGACCCTCGCCGGGGCTCAAGCTCGGGCCGCGGAGCGGACCCTCGCCGGGGCTCAAGCTCGGGCCGCGGAGCGGACCCTCGCCGGGGCTCAAGCTCGGGCCGCGAAGCGGACCCTCGCCGGGGCTCAAGCTCGGGCCGCGAAGCGGACCCTCGCAGGGGCGCAAACCCGGGCCGCTCCGCGGCCTCCCCCTGGGGCGCAAACCCTGGCCGCTCCGCGGCCTCCCCTAGGGGCGCAAACCCAAGCCGCTCCGCGGCTTCCCTAGGGGGAGAGCGCTCTCGCGCTGTGCGCAAGTCGTCGTTGGGCAACCACATGGGTTCGTCTCCATTTTTCAGTGTGACAATAAGGGGTTTCTCTTCCAATTTGCGTTTATGTCTGAGGTAGCCCGGAAGTCGGCGGTTCAACAGAGCATTCTTCTCAAAGGACCGGCGCGTTGGTGCCAGGGCGTCATCTATCAGATAGTCGGCAAATCCATCCACTGTTTGGGGGTTTGATGCGCGTAAAAGTCCGTCGTACATTTCCCGGGGCACAACGACCATTTTCTTCATTGCCATTATGAGCGGCGAAGCAGGAGCTCGGCAAGAAACGAAATTGCAGGGATCAAAACGGGAGACAGTGGCAAGCCCGCTCCTTCCTGCAGCACCCGACGTGCCGACGCAACGCTACGCTTCCTCGCCACCTCTCTGACCAATCCCACCAAAGGCAGCAGATTGGATTTTTGCCGTTTGGTCAGAGGGATTTCACCCTTTACCAGATTGTAGCAAATCTCCACCAGGAACTCCAATTCGGCACGATCCAGTTGTGCAACAAGTTTACGTCTGCGGTCGCCGGACTTTACTCTTGACAATCGGCGCAAAAATTCCAAATTATTTTCCAAGTTTTCCATATTTTTTCACAGCTCCAAGGCTTAGGGCTTAAATAACTTTTGAATTTTTAGGGGTTGAAAAAAAATTTATTTGAACTTTCAATACAAGGGTTCAAGGGGTAAGGTCGGTATTCACCGAACGTGAAGAATCAACCATCAGAACACGGTCGTGGTCGGCCGCAACGATCAGGACATATCCTCCGGCCGGCACGGCTTCGGTGAATTGGATCTTTACAGTCACTACACCACGACGAATCAAATCAAACGAATTTCCATCCTCTTGGTCTGTGGTCAAATTGAAGACGTACAAGGCGTTGCCATTCTTGAACATGTTTCTGTCGATGGACATGCTTTCGTTCGCAAATGCGTATCCAACATTCTCGTGAAGGTCGTGGAAGGCGCGAATATATTGATTTTCCGCAAAATTCATCTGATACCCTGCGCTAGGGTAGTTTTGGCCATTTGCGGACACTGTAATACTTCTAACATTTCCATGCACAAATTTAAATGGAGAATTCCGGGATGCTGGGCTGAACGAGGCGTTCCGGATGAGTCCCATGGTTATACGCCGCGGAATTTGCTCCGTGAACAGTGTGGCAACGTATTCAGTCTGTGTAGGAGAGACAAAGAAATGCTTCATTTCTGCCTGACGAATCGGGTATAAGGCCGGCTGCTTGAGAAGGGCGGCGTTCCAGCCCACTCCTACGCCGTCCGTCAGATCCAGGGTTTTTGTGTAGAGTTTGCAGCTGATAATTGCCAAACTGTACGCATTTTGGTCGTTAGCGTTCGGTGCGACAATACAATACTGCTCCTTTGCGGGCTCAATCTCCAACTCTAGTGTGGAGTGATTGCAGAGGTAGCGCGATTGTGTGAACAAGGGGCTGAATATTTTTGTCACAAACTGCGCATCTCCGTCCACAAAGAGGGCCCGACGCGCCTGGAAGCCGGGGTCATTCACGTCGTCCTGCGCCTTTGTGTGATACCACCCAACCGCAGACAAGTAGCTGTCAACCGAGGTTTTTGGGTAGGTCAACAAGAGGTCGAGATAGGTCTTGTAGCTGTTCAGACCGTTGGAGTTGTAGATCTCTTGCCCATTCAGAATGACCTTCATGTTGGAGATGAAGGTGGCTCCGATTGCGTTAATCGGTGCCACAGGATCCGCCGCCGTGATATTTTCCACCTCTCCCTCGGCATTCATTTTCGTGAGACGCATCGTAGTCACCAAATACACCTACAGAATCAACAGTTTTAGAAAAAAACAACTTCCCCCACCTTGCTCAGATCAACAAAACTCTGCCCCGACTCGATTCGAAAACGGTATGGCGGCGTTTCGATGGGGTTGAGGGTGAGAATTTCATTGATTCTTGACGTTCCCACGGAAATATTTGTTGGCGGAAGGGAGAAGGTGTCGAGGGCCGAGCTGACCGTGTCCACACTACGGGCGTCGATTTTTTTCATCTTTTCAACAGTGACTATAGACGGAGTCAAAAACACGAAAGTTTATTCCTTAAATAGATTTAAAAACTTCCAAAAATATCTTTTCTCTGTCGTTTCATTTGTGGCTGTCCAAGTTTCGGAGGGCGTCCTCGGCGTTTCACCCCACTACCACTTTGTTGGGCAAGTCTTGTCGAGGTCTTGCGAAGAATGTTGCGAGCACCAGACGAAAGTCCTTCCCTCAAGACGCCCTTCACTTCATTTGTGCTATTGGATTCTGCCAGGTTGTTTAGCATTTTACTGCTGGTATGCAGAGCTTCCTTTCCCACATCTTTTCCAATGTCGCGCAGAACGGGTGACAGAAAACGCCAAAATGATGAGAGTACATTTCCGAGTCCGCGGCCTGTTTGCCTGCCAAATCCTCGCTGGTAGAGTCGGCCTTCAAAGGCGCCAGCTCCAAATTGATCAAAATTGAACGGCTTTAGTGGATCAAAATTTACATGCACCATTATTTAAGTCGAGTAGTGTTGTGCGCGCGTGTTTTGCTTAAATACTTTTTTTGATCTACGAATGGATTTCGAAATTGTCCTCAGAAATATTGTTTCGGTAGCAAGTGTCGGTGGGTTCTTTTTGTCTTTTCTATGAAAGTTGCAGGCCGCGAACTCGACCTTTTGGAGCTGTCGAATCGCTGTGAACAAGTCAAATTCAACAAGACGAAGTTCAACGGAGCAATTGTGCGCTTAAATGGTGCTACGGTTCTCTTGTTCCGGACGGGAAAGTGTGTTATTACCGGAGTGAAGACGGAAAAATTGGCTCGCAAAACCGTTGTCTCGTTATGCGATTTACTTCAACATTATGACATGGAGTCGCGACCACACGGATTCAAAATCGTCAACCTTGTCGCAACCTCGAACATGGGCAGTGAAATTGATTTGAACGGTCTCAGGAATATTTGTCCGCACGACTTTTTCTACGAACCCGAAATTTTTCCCGGCCTTTTCTACAGAAAAAATGGAATTACCTGTTTGGTTTTCACGACTGGAAAGATTGTAATTAATGGAGGAAAATCAATGCAACAAATACTTGAATCATTTTCTCCAATTTATTCTCAAGTTCAGAAATTTTGTCACACCCTATAACTGATAAATCGTGGTCATTTCGCCGTGGAAAATGTTTGCACGAAGACGCAGCGTGTCTTTGGTTCGCGGATGCAGATCGATCAACAGGTAGGAGTAGGGCTTCTCTGTTGCGTCATTGTATGCCTCAACAAATCCACGCTTGCGAGGAAACAAGTGCGAGCCCAAAACTCGGACATGGAGTTGGGAATTTGGAGCTTTTAGCAGGACAAGATACTGTGCATTCATCCTCACGGTTTTCAACGATTTCTCAAACGCATCTTGTGTCAAAAAGATGACGTTGAACAGCATGTGGTGTGACTTTTTCGCAAAAACATCAACCAACCACTTTTCGTCCACTGCACTCATCTGATCATCCAGAACAAGGAGAGAGTGGGGCCTCAAATTGCGCAGCGTTTCTTCGCCCGGCACCCCTTGCATTGTTTTTATTCCTTTTTGTTCGAGGGCTCTAATGTGGTCGCCGTACTGTCCATATGAATACAAAACGTCTGGCGGAGGCGGGGAAATCAGAGATGCTGCCTGGTCGATGAGCTTCATGGTGAATACTGTTTTTCCACTGCTACTACTCCCCGAAACCACCATTCCGAATGGGGAACGAAATTTTATCTCTGCCGAATCAATAACCTCCATCGGACAGCACGATTTTTATTTTAAAAGGTTGGGATTATTTCTGTGACATTATTTTTTGACGTGCTTAAATAAGCATATCTTCCTCTTCGTCAGCGGAGTTTTGGAACTGGACGGTTGTGTTCACATCACCTTCTCCAAAAATTGTGACATATGTATTGTAGGCCTTGTAGTCCTTCACCTCGATGACCTATAAGTAAAAAATGTGCGTATTTTTTTTTTCATTTTCCAAACATATGCACATTTTCTACCTACCTCTCCGACCACCAACGCCGCGAGGCGCTGGAACAGGGCTTCGTTGCGGAACGTAATTGATTGCTGTAGGAAGGGGACCATGGCTGACCGCAGGAACAGGGTCACGGATTCGACTTTATTGGCCTCAACATTGAGCTTGCAGCGCTTGACCACCCACCTAGAGTGAACAAAGTCAGAAAAATTTTAAAACCTACTGGTCCATTGATTTAGCGGGTTTGGCTTCATTGGCACGGGACGGCAACCTTCTCTTCAACACATCCTGAGTTCCTTGGGCATTCTGAGGAGCTACCTTTTGGGTTTGTGGATTCATTCCCTGCCCTTGTTGAGGAGTCTGATTCATTGCTTTACTTTGCTGTGATATCATCCCTTGACCTTGTTGAGGAGTCTGAGTAGCGGGCAGCTGAACAACAATTTCGGGCGGAATGTTTTCCTTCTCTCCGATGACAACCTCTGATACCTAAAACAAAAAATACGAATTTAAATTTAAAAACTTACATCTCTTTTTGTCTTCTTGGACACTCGAGTTGAGGTTTTTGGGACAAATTGCATGATACCAAACTTGACCAGTGCTGAAAACTAAACTCCTTAAATAGACAAAGTACAGTAACGACGCGTAGATTTCGCAATCTTCGGAGAGAACGACGCGGACCGCCGCACAGCAGAAAGGCACAGGCACTGACTGATCGTACAGCGAAGGTAGAAATAGTATAAGTTGCCGCGTTTTGAATTTGCAAATTTTATTTGTGATTAATCAAGCTCCGGATGCAAAGACTACAAACTATAAGTTGTCGCGTTTTTGCATCCTGGTACAAAGTACAAGTCATCAATCAACATCATAGAGTCATCAGCTCAAAATAGCCTAAAGTCATTTAGCTTCAGTTGCACTGTTCTGTGCGGTTGACTGCTAAGGATTACGGTATTTTCGTCTTTTCTTACTGTACATTCCTTTCGTTCGTAAAACCACATTACGTCGGTCATAAATCGTAAAACTTTTGCAAGTGTCTGCAAATTATTTTAAACTTTTTGCAAGTTTTTTGAAACTTTGCAAAACATTTTTACAACAATATTTATATTGCGCATTTTGTTTTTTTGAAATACTTGGCGTCCCTTTAATGTTTAATATTTCCGGAAACAAAATATTTTCCGCATAACTGCAAAAAGTTGCACATCTTCTTGTTGAAAACTCGGAATTGCTGGAAAAATAATTTTATTTCAACTATTAATGATTTTATCACAAGCTCCGCCCACTCTCCTTCCTCTACACACTCTCTCACCGTCTGACTCTCTCCCTCCACATTCTCTTGCCTCTCTCGCTGTCTGACTCTCCTCCTCTCAACACTCTCTCGCCTCTCTCACTGTCTGACTCTCCTCCTTTCCCCTACTCTATCACTTCCGGTTCCCCCTGGCTCATTTTTGTAGCCTATAACTACTAGTATAATATCAAAGTGTTCGGCCTGGTATGGGCGCAATTTGGCTCCAAAAAAGGCGAAACTTTGGATTTTGAAATTTCATTCTGTAATGTTCCAAACGGTACAGGTCACTTCAATTCACTGCGACATCTCTAATTCACTTTTTTTAAACTGATGTCAAGTGCAATATCAAAGTGTTCGGCCTGGTATGGGCGCAATTTGGCTCCAAAAAGGCGAAACTTTGGATTTTGAAATTTCATTCTGTAATGTTCCAAACGGTGTAGGTCACTTCAATTCACTCCGACATCTCTAATTCACTTTTTTTTAAACTGGTGTCAAGTGTAATATCAAAGTGTTTCGCCCAGTGTGGGCGTAATTTGGCTCCAAAAAAGGCGAAACTTTGGATTTTGAAATTTCATTCTGTAATGTTCTGAACGGTATAGGTCACTTCAATTCACTCCGACATCTCTAATTCACTTTTTTTTAAACTGGTGTCAAGTGTAATATCAAAGTGTTTCGCCCAGTGTGGGCGTAATTTGGCTCCAAAAAAGGCGAAACTTTGGATTTTGAAATTTCATTCTGTAATGTTCCAAACGGTGTACGTCACTTCAATTCACTCCGACATCTCTAATTCACTTTTTTTAAACTGATGTCAAGTGCAATATCAAAGTGTTCGGCCTGGTATGGGCGCAATTTGGCTCCAAAAAAGGCGAAACTTTGGATTTTGAAATTTCATTCTGTAATGTTCCAAACGGTATAGGTCACTTCAATTCACTCCGACATCTCTAATTCACTTTTTTTTAAACTGGTGTCAAGTGTAATATCAAAGTGTTTCGCCCAGTGTGGGCGTAATTTGGCTCCAAAAAAGGCGAAACTTTGGATTTTGAAATTTCATTCTGTAATGTTCCAAACGGTATAGGTCACTTAAATTCACTCCGACATCTCTAATTCACTTTTTTTAAACTGATGTCAAGTGCAATATCAAAGTGTTCGGCCTGGTATGGGCGCAATTTGGCTCCAAAAAAGGCGAAACTTTGGATTTTGAAATTTCATTCTGTAATGTTCCAAACGGTATAGGTCACTTCAATTCACTCCGACATCTCTAATTCACTTTTTTTAAACTGGTGTCAAGTATAATATCAAAGTGTTTCGCCCAGTGTGGGCGTAATTTGGCTCCAAAAAAGGCGAAACTTTGGATTTTGAAATTTCATTCTGTAATGTTCCAAACGGTATAGGTCACTTCAATTCACTCCGACATCTCTAATTCACTTTTTTTAAACTGGTGTCAAGTATAATATCAAAGTGTTTCGCCCAGTGTGGGCGTAATTTGGCTCCAAAAAAGGCGAAACTTTGGATTTTGAAATTTCATTCTGTAATGTTCCAAACGGTATAGGTCACTTCAATTCACTCCGACATCTCTAATTCACTTTTTTTAAACTGGTGTCAAGTATAATATCAAAGTGTTTCGCCCAGTGTGGGCGTAATTTGGCTCCAAAAAAGGCGAAACTTTGGATTTTGAAATTTCATTCTGTAATGTTCTGAACGGTATAGGTCACTTAAATTCACTCCGACATCTCTAATTCACTTTTTTTAAACTGATGTCAAGTGCAATATCAAAGTGTTCGGCCTGGGATGGGCGCAATTTGGCTCCAAAAAAGGCGAAACTTTGGATTTTGAAATTTCATTCTGTAATGTTCCAAACGGTATAGGTCACTTCAATTCACTCCGACATCTCTAATTCACTTTTTTTTAAACTGGTGTCAAGTATAATATCAAAGTGTTTCGCCCAGTGTGAGCGTAATTTGGCTCCAAAAAAGGCGAAACTTTGGATTTTGAAATTTCATTCTGTAATGTTCCAAGCGGTATAGGTCACTTCAATTCACTCCGACATCTCTAATTCACTTTTTTTAAACTGATGTCAAGTGCAATATCAAAGTGTTCGGCCTGGTATGGGCGCAATTTGGCTCCAAAAAAGGCGAAACTTTGGATTTTGAAATTTCATTCTGTAATGTTCCAAACGGTATAGGTCACTTCAATTCACTCCGACATCTCTAATTCACTTTTTTAAACTGGTGTCAAGTA